GCAGCATCGCGAGGTGGAGAGCACTGGAAACGTTCTTCGAGGGCTATGTACGGCAGCTCGAGAAGAAGAGCCGCGAGGGGGATCAGGCGGGTTTCTGCAGGCACCTGAAGATGATCGACATCGAAGGTAGGAGGTCGTTCACCTCTCAGAACATCAAGGACGAGGACGGCAAGGTCCTTCACCCCACGTTTATTCGCCAATGGTGGGCGCGGTGGTTCCACAAGCTTCTCAACACCAAGGCGCCGACCATCGACCTGCATGCGGCTGACAAGGTCAAGCGGTGGCCCACGTGCGTGCCACTCGACGACATCCCATCTCTATTCAAGGTTGAGGAAGCGATACGGGAAATGGCCACCAGAAAGGCCGTCGGGCCGGACGACCTACCGGCTGAGCTGATCAAGCTTTTCCCGGACGGAGATCAAGGCCTCCTCCGCGAATTCCACGTCATCGTCGTGGGCGTGTGGCAGACGGGGGACGTACCACAGCAGTGGAAGGATGCCACCATCAAAGTGCTATTCAAGAAGGGGGATACGATGGAGTGCGGCAACTACCGGGGCATCTTTCTCGTCGCACACGCCGGCAAGGTGCTGCTTAAGGTCGTAGCTACACGACTGAGCCACTACTGCGAGCGAAAGGGCATCCTCCCGGAAGAGCAGAGCGGTTTCCGCCCACACCGGTCGACGCTCGACATCTGTTCGCGATCCAGCGGCTCCATGAGCTCGCGAGGAAGAAGAGTACTGCGGTCTTCGCGTGCTTCGTCGACCTCACCAAGGCGTACGATTCGGTGGACCGAGACCTACTGTGGGACGTGCTCCGACGCTTCGGCGTGCCCCCGAAAATGCTGGCGGTCATTCGCCACTTCCACGAGGGCATGAGGGCGCGCGTGCGAACGGACGACGGGCAGTACTCGGAATGGTTCGACGTGGGCCAAGGCCTCCGACAGGGATGCAACCTGGCCCCGCTGCTGTTCAACTTGTTCTTTGCCGCGACGCTCATGGTCGCCGTGGTCGAGTTCGACAAGGACCCCAAGGTAACGGTGGACATGGTCAAGACCGGGACACAAGTGGAGTACACGGGCAAGAAGGGCAGGTCGGCGGGGAAGAAGACGACTGTGGTGACGGACGTGGAGGCCCTGTGGGCCACGCTCTACGCTGACGACGCGGCCATCGTCTCGCGCTCGCCGAAGAGTCTCGAGAAGATGATGTCGGTCATCGTGCGCGTGGCCGGCCTGTTCGGACTGATGGTATCGGAGCCAAAGACGAAGATCATGTGCATGCTGCCGAAAGGGATCGAGGAACGCCCGTTCACGGTCAGCGCCCCCGGCCAGACGTACAAGCAGACAGATCAGTTTTGTGTACCTCGGACGTACCATCTGCGCGGACGGGAAGGCTGACCGGGAGATCACGAGCACAGTTGCCGAGCGTGGAAGTGCTACCGCCGGAACAGTGCTTCGATGTACGACAGGCGACGGGCCGACCGCCAGCTCAAGATCCGGCTACCCCAGGCTGAAGTGGTGGAGACTCTCCTTCACGGGTGCGCCTCGTGGAGCCAACAGCGGACCACTACACGAAGCTCAATGTGACCCACCGCCAGTTCCTGACACGGTGCATCGGCTGGAGCAAGCGGAAACGCTCAGACCGCCCCCTGTCCTATGCCAAGGCCCTCATCCAGGCCGGCTGCGAGGAAACCATCGAGGCCACTTTGCGCAAACGGAGACTGTGTTTCACGGGCTTCGTTATGCGCATGGAGGACAACCGCCTCCCCAAGAGCATGCTGCTAGGAGCGATGGCGGGGGGCGTGGGATACCGGGGCGGGCAGGAGAGCGAATGGGTGTCTCGTCTAGGAGAGGACCTCGTGGCCTTCAACACGGGAGACCAAAAGGAAGGGGGGACATGGAATTACAACTTTTTCAGGGATTTACGGAGAAATAAGGCTGAGTCTTACGGCGTCATTATTTCGGAGAATTTGTTTTTCTCTCGGTCGGGGGGGGGTGGCCTGCGCGGAAAAAATTATCAAGATCCAAACGACCGTCTTACGGTTCCTCGAGGTACATTTTTTTCTGAAGGGAAAAAAGAGGCTGATTCATGTTCTTGTGGGTCACAACATGCTTCAGTACACGGTGTTGGCTCGTGTGCGACCAACAAGACACCGAGCGCCCTGTTTATGGGTCGCCTGCATGTGTATCATCGCATGTTATCGGCTGCAGTTTGTGGATGTCGTCGACCAAAGGCCTCTCTCTGATGGCATGCGTTGTATTGTACACTGATCACACTCTCGACTCGGAGCAAGCAGCAGAAAAAAAAGGCAACGTCCAAAAAGGCAACAACGAACCACACCTCGGTTCACGTTTGCAGGCCGTGTGCAATGTGTAATCAAAACTGGACAATACGCTCTGTTTACAGGACGCGAGCAGAGGGTATGTGTATGACCACACGCCACTGGCTGCTGTTCGTGGATGTTGTCGGCCAAAGGCCTCTGTCTGGCATGCGTTTTTGACTGGCCGCGGATGACACATGGAGCAAACACGCGGCGGAACAAAAAAAAATGGACCAAAAAGTCAACACCGCAACACACTTTGGTTCACGCTTGCAGGCCGTGTGCAATCAAAACTGGACAATACGCTCTGTTTCTGGTACGCGAGCAGAGGGTATGAGTATGAACACACGCCATTGGCTGCAGTTTGTGGATGTCGACGGCTTAAGGCCTCTCTCTGGCGTGCGTTTTCAACTGGTCACACATGCAGCAGGCGTAAAAACGGCTCTTTTCGGCCGAAAGGCAAAGAACGTCAGTAGAGCAATGTGGCAGGGTTGACGTTTTCGGCTAGTGTGCGGCCAACACGACGCAGAACGCCCTGAATTTTAGATACCTGCAGAGGGTTTGTGCATGACCTCATGATACTGGCCTCTGTTTGGCCAGCAGACGGCGTAGTTCATCGTCCTGGCACGATCGGGGTGTGACCAGGGGGTGCCCCCCCCTATTATTTCTAACAGCGATATCCCAACCTGTTTTAGGATCGCTGTTGGAAAAGGGGCCAATTTTGTAAAAGGCCGGCGGGAATCGCTGTTGGAATTTGGGCTGTTGGATTTTTGCCATTTTCCTACCCGTAATAAGGATTTTGTTTCACTTTTTATGGGAGAAATTCTTCGGCAAAATCTTCCCACACATTTTTAAATGGGGCAAAAGTCGCTCGTTAGACAAAATGTTTGACAAACATTTTGAAATGGGGCAGGTAGCGAAAATCTTCTCCAAGAGCGGCGAGATTATTAGCCGATCGCCCCTCCCTCCCTTCCGTCCTAAACACCAACCACTGCGCAGCGCACACTCAACGTAGCAAGCTCATAGAGGGATCCGGATAACCGTGTCAACGTTTTGCCGGCTGATACATGGCGGGAGCTCGTCAAGTGTGCACAAAAAACAGACAGACAGGGGTGGTTTTGAGGGCACGGAGAAAACGTGGTTTGTGTCTCCGCACGGCAAAACGTCGGATGCTTGAGAGGATACGTGAGTAGTACCAAACTATCCAGCTTTCGTCCGCTAGACCATCGATTCATGTTTTGTCTTCTTGGGTGTCTTCTCCATCAACGTCTCTCATCCGGGTGTGCGTGGTTCAGCAGTGAACGTACTCAACAGGCAGGGAGGCGCGTCGTTGTGAACTCGATGTGTTGAAAAAGTCTTTTTGGGACGGAGGAAGAAGCCCTCTATATTCAAGTGAGAAAATAGACCGAAAAAAACGTTTGTGTCCACAATTTTGTGCGCACAACGATGTGCCTCCCTGCCGACTGAGCGCGGCCACTGCCACCCCACGCGCAACCGGATGAGAGTCGTTGATGGAGAAGACACCCAAGAGGGCAAAACATGAATCGATTGTCTAACGCGGGAGAGCTGGATGGGTTTGTGTGATGGAGCAACTAGTGTATGAGCGTTATATGATCATGACTTGGATATTGTGTATTTTCGTTAGTTGGTATGACTAAGGTTCCAACCCCCGTTCTCACTCTCGACTTGTGAGCGCGGAACGCGGCCAGCGGAACGCGTATGAAGAGGATAAAACATGAAATGCAACAATAACTGTGAGTGAGCGAGCAAGGAGCAGCGGACCTGCTTCCTTCCCTCTTTTATTTCTCTGTTCCTCCATAGCATTGTGGAGTCGTCTAGCATTTGGACTCCGGTCCTTCGCTGGTGCACCGCAGTTCGCGTTGCTCTTCTGTGCTTCTGTCCTCTTTGTTTTGTTTCAGTCATTTGTTTTTGTACCGGGTTCAGAGGGGGGGTACATTTGCTCCCTCTGACTCACTTGTGGAGAGTCATGTGCATGTTTGCTTCAGCTTGATGGGCTTTCGAGTCCATCCATGTACAAGTGATGCGCCGCCCATGCTTGGTGGTGCTCTTCAATATTTCCATGACTTTAGGGTTTTGGTGAGCGCTGTGGCCATTCTTCCACAACGATTCGATTGCTGGCAGGGTCGCGTCGGAACGCGGCGGTCTCTGCGAAACTGCTCTGGCCTTGTCCATGCTACTTGCTTGCGATAACGTGACCTTTGTTCGTGCGTAGTGACTACCCTTTCCTTCCTCTCCCTTCGGTGGCAAGCCCTGTGCTTATCTGATCATGCCGTCGAAATAATGGCGATGGCATGCTGCTGCTGAGTGGCCGCTTGATGGCCTGCCGTGGTTTGTTGCGATCTGCTGCACTGCATGTGCATAGGTTGTGCAATTTGGCGCAATCTATCTGACCGCGTTGCTTGCTACAGAGGAGAATCGATTACAACAAACCGGCCGCGGGGTGTGTTTTCTGTGCACACCTCGAGGTCGAGGGAACAGCCTTGGTATCTGCCATGTGCGCCTACCTGTCCACATGGTGACGGGGAGCTGCCAACCGGCCGCTTAGCTGGCGTGACATTATGCCACATCTATCTGCTGTCATCGGCGGTTGCGCATTGACGCAATCGGCGTATATGTTTCTTGCCCGGAAATCGGGGACACGGAGAGCAAGACATTCGGGCGCGGGGTCCGTAGGCTAATGGATAAGCCGCTGCCCTTCGAAGGCAGATATCGTCGGTTCGAGTCCGGCCGGACTCGTCTTTTTTAAAGAATGCCTCGCATGTAGCGCAGAGGGAGTGGAGGATTCCAGAATATCTGTCGTTGATTTCTATTGACTTGCGGGAACCCCTCCGGGCCAGTTTATTTGAGTGTACCTTTTCAGGGTAAGTTAACCTGTGACCACGGGAATCGACCGCGTCGAGTGTTGGATCAGTACGGACATACGAAGGTACTGGGTAGAGAGAGATCGGAACCGTTTTTAACGTGAAGACAACAACAACAACAACAACAACAACAACAACAACAACAACAACCTCGAGCTCAACCCTGGTGTTTCTGTTTGAACACCTCGAGCTCAACCCCGGTGATGGACAGTTGCCGAGTGGCCGCTCCAACGACACACGTGTGGCCCGCATGGTGGCCACAAATTAAATGTTGTCGGTGGCCGCTTGACAGTGGCCGAATGTGACATTGTTTTGCTTCCCGGAGCTGCGCGTTCCTTTGCAACTTCTCTCTTGTTTTCTTATTTATTGACAGGACGCGGACGAGAAAGAAATCTGTCACGGAGTGTTTCCGTGACACCTGCTCAGCGTTGCTGGCATACATCATGACCCACGGTGGTGGTCTCACCACAATAATTGACAAAAATTTTTGCCACTGCCAGAGACCATAGGCCGACTAAAATCCACCCAGAGCAGAGCCAGGAGATTGGACCGGCGACCGTGGATGCTGCCTGCACATGCATGCTTACATGATGCGGGTGATGTCTGCTGTTCGCTGTCAGTACAAAAGTGACTACTATATTATGCAGGGTAAAGAGGCGCAAAGCACCGGTAGCGCAAAGAGCGTGCCTGGCCATGGATGCAGGAAATAAATTCTCGGATAGCTTTGCCTCTGCGGCTGGTTCCCGAAGCATACGCTTTCGCCTCTGTCGCCACCGCTGCTTGTTTTACAGTTTCGGCGTTGCTGATATTGCTGCTGCAGCTGCTGCTGCTTCTTCTGCTGCTGCAATTGCCATTGCACTGTCGCAGCCGCTATATTGCTGCCGCTGTTGTATAGCTGCGGGCAATTTCACGAATTCATAGGTCTTTTACCCCAGCCATAACCTCGCATGAAGTAGTGCCGGCATGTTCCGCGTTGGCCAAATCGCATGATGCTCTACCGTTCGCATGCGAAAAACGAGGTGGCTCAGGTAAAAACAGTGGGCATACATCGGGCGAAGGCCACCGCTCTGGGAGATGCAACTCGGACGCGCACACCCCGTTCCCGGTACCGGCCGCTGGTGTCGCCGCGGCTCCAGCGTCCACCGCTGTCGCTGGAACCCCGCGCCCGCGGAATTCCGGAACCTCGCATTTTCGTGGTACGACAGCGATGGCCTTTTGCACGGATCGCCGCCACAGGTACGTGTTGGTTTCTCAACCTTTTGTTTCCCAGATATCTATCGCCCCGCGCCTCATCACAGCTTGTTCTGGGCGACCGTCGTGACTTGTCGGCGCCGACTACAGCCTTGTGGTGTGGGCGCGGGAACTATAAGACGTCGGGTGTCTCACGGACGCTCGCCCCGATGTCTATGCCCCCTGGAGGCATGGCTTCCGCGCCTCCCACCGTTTCGGCGGCTCCGGGTGGTCTAGTCAACCTCGTCGGGGCTCAGGGACCTTCGGGACAGCCTCAAGCCCGCCGCGGTGGCTCGAGTACGCTTGTACCCACCGCGCCCCCTCCAGACCCTTCGCGACGTTCCTCTACGGAGCATCAACGTCGCACGGTGCTGACTGCACTGCCGTTGCCGAGCGCAGGTAACGTTTTCCAAAATCGGAAGGTTCATGTTCTTTGTCACGAAAAAGCGGTCCCGAGCCTCCCGCGGCCGCTGGCCATGTTGGTCGAGCGCCCGCGAAGAAGGCCGCTTTTAATGAACAGGCCTACGCCGACGTTTTGCGCGAAAACGCCCGCGTAGACCGCTTAGTTTCGCACGCTTCTGCGGCTGGTTCACCGCTTTTGCCTGCCTCTCCTCGTAACCCACAATCCGACCCGTCTTCGGACGGCACCCAGATTGTCCTGCCGGTTGCCGGTGCCATTTCCCTTGATGATATTTCTTTGCGGAAGGTAAGCGCACCCGCGCGGCAGGCCCCTGTTCTTGACGGCCGTCAGGAATACTACAACGATGAGGTTTCCTCTTTTGGAAACCGCCGCCTCTTTTGCTCAATTGGACGCCCTGCGCGTTATTTGGTCCACGGTATCCGCTATGTGTGCGGGATATAGTTCATGATGATGGTGGGATAGCTCGCATTTTCGGCGATGACTCCGCATATGAAAAATCATGGCCAACTCGGACCAAAGCCAGCACAGTCTCTCTTGGACGGAAGGTGCGCGGTTTTGGCCACATTTTATGGGAGCTCAGACGTGAGGATGCTGTCTCTTTGCTGTTGTATGCGAAATCCTCCCTAAACGCTGACCCGCGCGAAGAGGTTTTTGGCTACGGGGGTCCGACAAATTGCGGAGGCTAGCTCCTTCGACACGTTATGGGGCATTGGTGTCGATGCCCTCGACCCGCGTGCTGCGTCGCCTTTTGTGGTCAGAATCTCTTGGGCAAAGCGGTTGTTGCGACGCGCACGCTCTTGCGTGTGCGCCAGGTCGGACCCGACAAGACTTTGCAACCGGAGAACTCGGGGATGCCGGCCCCCGTGTGCACAACCATTCATGAAATTGCGCCACCGGGTGATGGATCTTTGGCGGATGATCCTTCCTCCTCGGACGCATGCATGTCGTCCGCTAGATTTCGCTTGCGAACACACCGGCGGACCGCTCACGCAGATGCTGCACATTGCGTGCGCCGCTTTTCACGCCATCGCTGCTTCACCACCGTTGTTGGTGGAAAACGGCGCTGATGGACATGGAAACACCACCATTGTGTGTGGTGGATGATGTCAAGGTATGAATAGCTTTACTGTTTTTATGCAACACATCGACTTGGGTGGGCTTACCGCTTCCACGGAGCTATGGAACCACTCTTATTGATGCAGGGCATTGGCTTGGGTGGGCTTATCCCTTCCAAGGCGTACCCAACACGGTATTTCCGTCGGTATGGACCCAACATGGCGATGCTGACGTCTGAGTCCGCCCTCCAATGTTGGTCTGGCGGAATATCGCGTCTTTCTCTGTACTCCCGTACAATTCAGTCTTGGTGGACCAGTGGCCGTTAGACCTCCTCCGGCTCTTGCTTCTGCGGAGCCAGACGTCTGTCTCTCGTCCACCGTTGGTACCACTGCGGCTGCCCATATATTTGTTTCACCCGAACACAGTCCGGGAACTAATAGCTGTCGGAAATGAGTGTGTGGCGGCGAACACACTTTCGATGTTTGGGATCCCCAACGGTTTTGCCCGAAACATATTCGAAGACTCCGCCGAAATACGTGCCCATGTTGTTGTGGCCTTGGGTTTGGCGAGCATGCCACGTTACCACGTCTTTCCACCTGGACACCGCTCGGACTTTACGTATGTTGGAGCGTTAGCGGTATGAATGTGTCTGTCCGTTGGTGGATTCGGCAATGTTGAATTTGCCGAGCCCGCAAGTAAGACTTCCAAGCAAACGTATCGATGGCCTACGCTCACTGTGACCCTCCCTACTGGGCCGGGTATTGCAGTGAGCGTCGACTTCTTTTGGACCGTTGCCGGTCACGTACTTTACCTTCCTGCTCTTTTCTTCGAACTCCTCGTCTGAGGGTGCGAACGTTTAGTCAATGGCAGGAACATTCGCATTATTGTGGTTGACCGGAAAGCTCAGGGCCCCCCACCATTTCTCGTCAAAACATGTCAAACCCTTCCTCCAATATAGTGTCTAAGTACCAAATCCTACACAGCGTGTATATGCGAATAGGTGCCGCCGCTGTTGTCCAAGAAATGACACAAATCATAGACAATAAAGGTCGCCGCTGTTGTCCAAGAAATGATACAAAGCTAAACAATAACGCAAACAGCCCTGCTGTCGAACCCCAAAACAATGGAAATAGAGCCACTGCGACTGTTCCCAGAGTTCATGACAAGCACACTCCGGGCGTATATCAATACGCCAACAGCCCCCCTACTGAGATATTCACCCAAACCTCAAATAGCCAAGAAGAGTGACAAATCGATTGCTGCTCATGCTCTGTACGATCATGGTCACACATGATATTCCCCCCCATGATTTTCGATGCAAGAACGCCAAAACAAACAAAGCATAAAAAATATATTGAATCGACCCGTGAAGCAACGACTCGACGGGGTTGAGGGTTCCTTGTTGTAGTTGGTGCGTACACACACATGTGCTGACCCACCTGCCTGAGGGACTTGCGTGTGGAAAAATATATGATTGCTTTCGATCAGTGATTGGCCGTTCCTGCGATAACTGAGTACCCAGTCTCAAACGCATACCTGGTACTACAGAAGGAAAATCATGCTTGCAACATTTTGAGGACTCGATGCTAGGAAGGCAAAGAAAGCAATAACAGCATGAACATGAACGCGAACGTCTCCTGAAGTTAAACTCCAAAAGCTCCCCTGCTGCCTGAGCCGTTTGCCTTCATACATTTCAAACAAAGCGCAATAGTCCCATTTGTTGCCCGGATTGAGGCCAGAAACACGCCTCAAAGAGCGCCACGCAACTCAAGGCTTGACATCAAAACAAAAACCAAATATGGAAACATCGTAAGTTCCAAAGTGTCCAGTTAGATTGAAAAACACGATCCAGTCATAAGAAATTATAACCTAAATCTGAAGCATCTAGTCGCCGCATGGTAACACGCGACTGGATATATTTGAAGAACCGAAGAAGATAACCACGTGTTGTCGATACCACACTGCTTCCTATCCCACGGGTTGTATCAATGCTTGTCTACTGTCGCAACGTTTTCAATATACTTCATCACTGCGGAACAAACTCCATAATTTATCCAACGAGAGGGGTACGACACTCGTTTGACTCGTCCAGAACTGAAGGGTGGGATCATCATCAAATCATTCTGTGGTGTAGTACGTTGTTGTGGAACCAATCATCACCTCCCACC